GCCTATTCTTTCTGTCTTTACACCAATACCACACTGTTTTCATTTCTATGAGATTTCATTTCTGTAGCTTTATTGTAAGTTTTGAATTCAAAAGAGTGAGACCTCCAGCTTTGTTGTTTTTCAGAATTGGTTTTGTATTCCAGGTATTTTGTATCCTTTTATACATTTTAGAATAGACTTTAATTTCTACACACAAAGACTACTAAAAGCAGCCTATACAGGGGGGCCTGGGTGGCTCAGTGGGTTAAGCCTCTGCCTTCAGCTTAGGTCATGATCTCAGGGTCCTGTGATCAAGCCCCACATCGGGCTCCCTGCTCAGCAGGGAGCCTGTTTCCCCCTCTCCCTCTGCCTGCCTCTCTGCCTACTTGTGATCTCTCTCTGTCAAATAAACAAAATCTTTTAAAAAAAAAAAATTAGCCCATACACCAATTAGGAGATAATGAACATGTTAACAATATAGAGTCTTTCAATCAATGAACATAGTATATCTTTCCATTTATTTCTCTTAGCAATATTTGGTAGATTATGCCATAGGAGATTTTTTCTTTTGTTCTATTTTCCAATTGTTTCCTGCTAGTATTTGAAAATACCATTGATTGTTTTATTTTGATCTTATACCCTATGTGACCTTTTTAAATTCACTTAATAATCTTAGTAGTCTAAATCAAACCCTAGGATTTTCTGTATAAAACATCAAATCATTTATAAATGGCACAGTTTAACTTCTTCCTTTTTAGTATTTATGGACTTTTGATTTAGCTAAATTAAAGAATTAGCTGCATAGTTACTATAAATTTTAATTAGCTTTATTATATATAGTTTGCATACAGTAAAATACATCAGTTTTTAAAGTATAATTAAGGAGTTTTGACAAATCACATAATAAAAATCATATAATCACCATCAGAATCATGATATAAAACTTTCTGTCACTCCCAAATCACCTCAAACCCTTTTTCAGTCAATTGTCTACCCTGTCCTGGCCTCTGAGAACCACTGATCACCATTCTGTCACTTAATTTTGCCTTTGTGTCAATATTATATAGAAGGATTTATATGTAGTATTTTGTATCATATTTTACTTCTATATAAAAAAACCACAAAATTCAGTATTATAATTTTTGCTTTAAACCATGAGTTGTCTCTTAAATAAAAGGGAGAATAAGAACTAGAGCTTTTTCTATTTACATGTATATCCCATGTTTGTAATCTTCATTCCTTTCTGTGTATCTGAGTTTTCATTGTTTATTTCCATTCAGCCTAAAAATATTCCTTTAAGGGCACCTGGGTGGGTCAGTCAGTTACATGTCCAACTTGATTTTGGCTTAGGTCATGATCTCAGGGTTGTGAGACTGAGCCCCATATAGGGTTCCGTGCTGAGACTGAGCCTCATATAGCCTGCTTAAGATCCTTTCTCCCTTTCCCTCTGCCCTAATCCCCGCTCCCCCCCCCCCAAAAAAAACTCCTTTAGTATGGAATTCTGGATCTATGGAATTTTTTTTTGTTTTGGGTTTGTTTTTGTTTTCTTTTTGTTTTTCTTTTTGCCCATTCAGCTTTCAAAGTCCGAATTTTTTCTTTTGAGTGGTTTCCATTTCTCTAATAGTATTACCCATCCATACACTCATTGGGATTGTCTTTTTAAATAATTATTGGAACGTATTTATAATAGCTGTTTTAAATCCTTTGTCTATGAATACCAGTCTATCTAAATTATTTTCGTGTTTGTTTCTGTTGACTGTTAGGGCTTTTGACTGTGGTTCAAATTTTTCTACCACTTCACATATCTAGTATTTTTTTTTAAAGATTTTATTTATTTATTTATTTATTTGTCAGAGAGAGAGAGAGCGAGAGAGAGCGTGCACGAGCACACAAGCAGACAGAGCGGCAGGTAGAGGTGGAGAGAGAAGCAGGCTCCCTGCTGAGCAAGGAGCATGATGCAGGACTTGATCCCAGGACCCCGGGATCATGACCTGAGCTGAAGGCAGCGGCTTAATCAACTGAGCCACCCAGGGTTCCCTAGTATTTTTTTTTTTTCAATTGTATACTGGTTTGTCAATGATTCCTTGCAGAGATTCTGGATTCTGTTATCTTTTTTTTTTTTTTTTCTCAACAAGGTATGCCTCTAATTTACTTTTCCATTTCCTCTGAAACTGAGCCCATTGCCATGCTCCCTGCTCTTGGTCCTCTTTTCCATGTACTCATTCTTCAAGCATTTTCTCATCTCTCAACTGAGGTCATTGCAATGACCAAAAAATTTCAGAATGCTGTGCTGACTCGCGGCCACAGCAGGAGGGCTGAAGCCATAGGTGAAGACTCCCCATTCAAAAGGCAGCAATCAGGATGAGGGAGCTGGGCCAGCTCTCAGTGGCGAAGGCTCCCAAGTCCTTTCTGTTATCTTTTTCTTTTTCTTTCTTTCGTTTTTTTGTTTTTTAAAGATTTTTAAAAATTTATCTGTTATCTTTTTCTTAAAGAGTTTTTTTTGTTTGTTTGTTTGTTTCTTGTAACACACCGTTAAACTTGGCGAAACTCATACTTAAAACTACATCTCTTCTGAGGTAAGGAACAGCTAAAATTTTTTCTCAGTTTTTCAACCTTCTAGTGATTGTTTTGTGCTTTCTGGGGAGATCCTTGGTGTTTCCCACACATATGCATAGTTCAGAGATTAGCTTAGTATTTGACCATAGTTTATATGTAGTTGGATTCTTTCACTGTGCTCCCTCCTTTCTGTAATTTCCTCCTCAATTTCTAGCCTCTCTGCCAGCCCCAAATTCTGACACCTCAAGCTCCTAAGAGTTGTGTTGCCTGTGGAGCCCTCAGAGGAAAAGCTGAATAAATGTGCATCTAATTCAGAAAATTCCTTTCTCTTGTGGGTTACATCATTTTCAGTTTTCTGATTGTGATGGATCTCTTGCACATTTAAAGAACTCTTTTTATATTTACTCCAGAGATTATAATTGTTATATACAGGAGGTTTAGTCATACCAGCTACTCTGCCATACCAGAATGGAACCTTATCCATGCATGTTTGAGTGAGACAAAAAATAGGCAATTAGAAGCTTTGGATCTCTGAGCCTGTTCAATGATAGGCTTCACTGTAAGGTGTTGAAAAAAATTAGGATTTTTGTTGTTGTGAGTATCCTAATTGTCAGTATCCATAGGTCGCTCTCTCCTTGAATTATTTAGTTTTCTTAGTGAGGAATCCTTTAATTTCTTGTATGGCGGGCGTATGATAAATATATGCCCATTTTTCAGCATCCTGGGAGCCTAATGGACCTGGAAATCTCACATTTTGTTATGTAGAGTTTTGCAAATCCTTCTGTTTTCAATATGGTGTGACCTGTACCTTGTGATGTAAAACATATTTCATTTTCTGTTTAATGTTTTCAAAGATTAAATCTCCTCTCTTTTCCAAGGGTTTAGGAAGTGTGTTTTTTTACTGTGAATGGTGGAAGAAGAAATGTAGGGACCTAAGAACTTCTTATAAAAGCTTTCAACTAATGTCTTATTTTCTGTTCCAACTTTAGAAGGATCTAGTGCTCAATTCCTGAGCATTTCTGGAATTTTGTGGTAAGAATTGGATTTTTTCTCATTGGCTTCTCCCATTTTAAATCCGAGTTTCAGGTATATCCAGTCTTCAAAGTCAATTACCATTTGTCCATCTGTTCTTAGATTCTGGAATTTAAGTGATATTACTCCTCTTTCTTATTGTGGATATATGCCTTTGTTCTTCTTTTGATCATTTTAGATGGTATTTCGTAAGGAGTGAAGATAAATCATACAGATTCAATCCTGTTCCACTTGTCTTAAAATAATATTTATTTTCATCTTCTATTTTTAAATAAATAAAAATTGATTTATTAAACCAGATACCCTCTTTTGAAGTTAATAGCACTTTTACAAAAGTCAGTTTTGAAAAGCATAGGTATCAAATGACCAAACCAGTGTTGAATTTAAATATCAATTCTGCAATCTCCTCTATACCATGAAGTAGTGTTTCTCTAGCTATCGTTCCCTAAAATAGCAAAAGTAAAAAGACTTATCATCTCTTTTAATGTAATATGCTTGCTTTGGACTTATGTTGTAAAAGAATTGCTCATAAAAGACAAGTATAAACATGCAGTGCTGCCACTTCAGAACTTGCCTCAAAGAAGTGTGAATAAAAATGGCCTAGCAGCTACTCCATGCCCTTCCTCCACCAGTCCGTGCAAGCCAAGGGAAATTTAACTTCCTGAGAACTAGAATTTACTTTAGAGTTTTATTAATTTGCCTTGAGTATGCACTTGATTTTTTAACACGAAGATTATTGAATTCATTCTCTGAAAATGTTGTGTAAGCATTTTCAGTCTTTCACCAAATAACTCAGTATTTCACTGAATTTGTATGAATCTACATATACTTAATATTTTGGGGGCCATTTGTAAATTGAATATATGCTCATCTTCATACAATTATCTGTGAGGGATAGTTTTTACACTTATTTTTTCAATTCTAGTCAACTAAGGATCATATTCTTAGCACTAGTAGGTTAATTTTGAGGTTTTTAGTGCTTTTTGGGGGGTAGTTCAACATAGCATGAAAGCTCTTAAGAGTCAGAAATAAATCAATAAATTAGAGGATAATATTGGACTTTGTTTATTGATGTTATCAGGAACGGGGGCTTGTGATACGGTTTATTGAATGTTGGAGGAAAATAAAACAAAAAAATTTCTGAAAGCGACACCTGTGAAATAAGGTTAAAGAAAGGGCCTAGAGTTCTTTAGCCAGAAATGAGGTTGATGTAATAACTACTTTTATATATATTTATTACAGAATATGACAGAGCAATTGTCATTGCTGAAATCCGGAAAGAAAAAAGTTCAATGGTAGAAATATAAATGATATACATTCAACCGGTACCTAGAAGAATAGCCTAAAGGTTGCCAGACAGACATTGGAATGCTTGCGATGGGACACATCTCCGTGGAAGAGTGAATAGCTTTAAATGTAGCAATCTCCTCTGTCACGAATGGTGACAGGTCCCGCATTAAGGCTTCCACAGGGCCCTTCCAGACCTGTAATTCTCTGGGTCATTTCTGTTCCAGCCTTCAGAGGTTGAGAGTGAACCAGACACAGCAAACACCTGCCCTTTCAGGAGCTCCAGCCGTGCTAAAGGAGGCAGTGCCAGCAGCAGCACAACAGCATCTCTTCCAACTGAAGACTTCACTCAAAGGTGAGTCAGGTCAGTGAGGACCCCGTGCTTCCTTCTCCTTCAGCTATCAGCTGGGGCCTGGCACAGGAGCTCTGGGAGATCGACGACCACAGGGCATCCTCCCCAGCTGCCAATATAAGCTTTGACAGAGGGATGAACAGGGCATGGCTGATTAGCTGGTGATAGGTGGGAGGGACTCGCCACCTAGACGCGCTCTGGGGAAGGATGAGTAGCGCCAGCAACAGCCAGGTCCCTCTCTCACCCTCTGCTTGGTGGTCCAGACCCATGTGCTCCCAGAGCGCGCTGGGCGCCCGCCACTCCTAGAGCGAGCGTCCCACTGCGCGCGGTGTCTTCCAGGCTCCCGGCTCCCGCGGGAGGGCGCGTGGGATGATGCTCTGGTCCTCGTGCTTTCCCCAAGCTCATGCATCCGGAGCCGCCCAAACCGGCACCGCAGCAGCCACAGCCTGGGAGTGAGAAAGGAAAAAAGGGAGGAGGGTTGGAAAGGCTCAGCAGAGGGAGGAGGAGAGGTGGGGAGGGAGAGAGCGAAGGGGGGGAGGGAATCTCTCTCCTTTGCAGTGCCTCCGCCTCTCCTCTCCGGCTGGCAGCGACTGGGTTCTCCCTCCACACCCTCTCGCAGTACCTCGCCCCCTTCTCCACCCACCCTCCTTCCCTCCCTCCTTTCTGACTGTGCAGGAAGGGAGCTGCAGCTTGCACGCAGCTCAGGGCGCCTGGGGAGGCACGGGGGGTGGAGGGGGGGGGAAGCAGCGGCGGCGGCTGTGGGTGTGTGCGTGTGTGAAGGACGCCACCTCTCGCTCCTGCGTTTGCAGGCGGCAGCAGGCGGCGGGGCTTCTCGCTCCGGCAGCGGCGGCGACAGCGGTGGCGGCTTCCGGAGTCCCGCCGAGAAGATGCTCAAAGTCACGGTGCCCTCGTGTTCTGCCTCGTCCTGCTCTTCGGTCACTGCCAGTGTGGCCCCAGGGACCGGGAGCCTCATCCCGGATTACTGGATCGAAGGTTCCAACAGGGATGCTTTGAGCGATTTCTTCGAGGTGGAGTCGGAGCTGGGACGGTAAGGCAGTGGTGGTGGGGTGGGGTGGGGGGGGCGCCCTGGAAGTGGTGGAGCGTCTTGTACTGCACGCGGGCTCGAGCTTCTGGGGAAGCCCGCGGCGCGCACCGGGAAGTCCCTTTCACAGGGACTGCTCCTGGGGGTATGTGAGAGCCAGCTTCCCTGTCCTTTGATTTCTCCCCCTGTAGTGTCTAGGAGTGAGCTAAGTGCTTTCAAGTTGGGAGTCAGGTGTCTCTCAGAGCACCCAGGCCGGTGCAGCTGCGAGCAGCAGCCCGACTCTCCCACCCTCGCTCCCTCCTTCTCGCCGGCTGCCACTTCCCTTGGGTGACAGCTCCCACCACACGTGGGCCCTGCTTTCCCGATTGGTGTCTTTGCTCAAGATTATAGCTTGCTAGAGGGTCTTGTTTGTCTAGTTATTTTTTGGGGTAGGGGCAGAGGGTGCCCCTCCAAACCATGACAGAATTATTAAATTAGATTCTTCCCCTTTCCTCTCATCAAACTCTCCAATGCAAGTGGCACTAGAAATTAAACTTAAATACTAGCTTCCCTGAAGAGTCTGCTCAGGAGTGAAGGGGAGAATGAATCATTTGAGAGAGTTGAGGGCAGAATAATGAACTAGTGTGGCTTTAAAGAAAAAAGAGCACATGGGGTTTAGGCAGTGGTAATTAGAAGAATTCTGCTCTTCTTTCATGCTGGAGTGATTTATTTAAATTATGTATGCAAAAAGCTATCTCTCTGGGGTTGCAGAAATGTCCCTCATCCCTCCTCTGAAGATCCAAACAGGTAGAGAGCGGTTTTGCCATGCGGATGATGCCATATGTTCTCATATTTTTAAACACAAAAAATTGTTTTTTCTTTCCCTCCTTCCTTTTCCTTCATTCCTTTCTGTTATAAGTAGGTAAGGAGAATTCCTTTCAACATACATTTAGATCCAGGCCGTTTATGGTAGGGAATCTTAAAATGTAATTTCAAGTGTGGACAAGTTGAAGCTTCTGTATTTAATACTTTGTAATTTCATTTTCTATTTTCTTTTTGTTGGAAACAGTTTAGCTAAGAGCCAATTTTTTTTTTTTTTTAAATGCCACTGGAGACCACAGTGCAGGATTATGGATGTTGATACTTGGTGGGAAGGTATAAGGGTCACCTCACAAACCACCTCCCCACCCCCACCCCCCCAACTTGCCGCTACTATTAATGGCTCATTGATATAGAAGGTATGGAAGAAACCCAAAACTTCTGAATGAAAGTATAGTCATTTGTCATTGTTTAAAAATTTTCCAGGGGCGGCTGGGTGGCGTAGTTAGTTCAGCATCCAACTCTTGATTTCCTCTAAGGTCATGATCTCAGGGTCCTGGATTCCATGCCCTGCAATGGGCTCCGGGCTTACCAGGGAGTCTGCTTGAGATTCTCCCTCTCCCTCCCGACCCCCGCCCACTTGCTCATGCCCCCCACCAAATAAATAAATAAATATTTTTAAAAATGTTCCAGAATACTTGGGCATTGAATAGTGTGTACATAAATATCCTACTTTGATCAAAATCTTCAATGTTCATCTGAAGATGTGTGATTGTATGCATTCACTCGTAGGATGGAAATAAATGAAGTGTCTCCTTTTGTCAGGTTTGAACCTTACTATAATTGTATGGTGAGCTGCAGTGGAACAGTGTAAATTTCTGATTAAAGAGATAATCTACTTACAATTGTTTACTTGGTGTTTTAGAAATTGCTGCCTAATAGAGGAAGTGTCTGCTGGTGCTAAAGGGACTGTCCCACCACCAAATCTAACTGCTCCCTGAGTAACGTTTGCCCCAGATGCCTAATTGACTGGGACTTCTCATTAGCTACATATTATCTTTATGAATAAGCTTTGCTTATTCAAGACATTTCTTTAATTTGAGGAATGGAAAAGTGGTTAGAAAAAAATTGTGAGTTGTACATATCTATGGGATGTCAACTTCGTTGGGAAAACCTAAGGAATTTGAAGTTTATTTTTAAAAAAACTTTGTGCTATATTTTGCAGTAAATTTTGGAAGACAAATATAAATCAGTTATATATTGCTAAGATTCTTACTTTGCTATCTAGCTGTCTGATTATCTTGCAAATTACAGAGTTAAAATATTTTGAGAAAACTAAAAATTCTTTCTTTTGTTGCTTTTCAGTAGTTATGTGTATTAGGTAAGTTCTCTGTGGATGGCAGTATTGGTGAGGTGCATGTTTACTCCATTTGGCTGAGACTGAAAAATGTCATTTCATGATCAGTTATTTTTTTCAACAAAATAAATCTAAAACATAAAGCAACTAAGGCTACAGATATAATTACTAAGAATCTACCTAGCCAGAGAATACAGCAGAATTATAACTATTGCCTGACAGAAGTCTTCTTTCCTTCACTAGGGATAAAGTTGAGACTTGGTTGGTTTCAGGTCTTTACTCTCTTAACTCTCAGTCTTGGGCCAGATCTGCCTGTCAGTGGTGACTCTAAGGCCAAAACATTTAACTCATTAGTTACACAGTTGTCATTAAGATGCTAAGGGAATGAAGACCTTGGTGTGAAATGTCACTGTATTTAAATCCAGGATATAGGCAGTCCCCACCAGATTAAGTTAACTTGTGAGTAGTCATTCCTCTGTTAAAATTATCTGTTGTAAACTATTAAGTCATGAATTAAAGAAGATTGGACATCTGACTACTTTTTAAAAAGATTTTATTTATTTATTTGTCAGAGAGAGAGCAAGCGAGAGAGGGAACACAAGGGGAGATGAAGAGAGAAGAAGCAGGCTTCCCACTGAGCAGGGAGCCTGATGTGACAAGGGGCTCAATCCCAGGGTCCTGGGATCATGACCTGAGCCAAAAGCAGATGCTTAACAAAGACTGCACCACCAAGGTGCCCCTGGACATGTCAACAAACCCTGAGGATATGTTTGGAAATTTTAGGGAGCACAGTGAAAGCCAGCTGAAACCCCTATATAGTGCTGGCAGCAGTGTTTTACAGGTAGCCCAAGGCCATGTGATAGCTCTAATTTTATTCTATTCTATTATACACACACACACACACACACATATGTGTATACACACACACACACATATCTGTGTGTATGTATATATGTATCAGGATAGGGGGTGATTTTAAGATTAATAATTTCATTATTGTTTTCCTGTCATAAATAGAAGAAAATTATAAAAATAAATTGCAGATAAACAAAGCGTTTTTATTAAACTGAAGCTACAAATGTTTTCCTACAGAAGGCTCCCAGCCCAAGGATTATTCTCTCTTTGTTAAAAAGGGAGATTATCAAAGATTAGCAGGGTTAAAACAAAAATATCAGTGAGGGGTGGGATAAGGAAGATTATTTAAAGAGTATCAGGCAAGCTAATTTAATTTTTCTAAGATTTGAAAATAATGCTTTCTTTATAGAGCTTGTCAAAAAGTTTACAAAAATTGTGATGCCCCAACAAATTCATGGCCAGTTCATATGGCCATGATCTTATTCAAAACTCCCTATCCTAGAGAGTAGTTGGTCCTTTGCCCAGTAATTTGAGAAGCTGGCATTTTAAAGTCTTTTCTAAGGGAAAGAAGAACCTGCATCTGGTCCAGATTCTGTCTAGTGGTTTGGCACAGGGATGGACAGGATTTGGCCTGGGCTGCCCTGTGGTGGGGATTGTGCATTGAAACCCAAACCCTGTTTTCATTTATCCCATCTCTTGTTTCTCTCTGTAGTATGAGACTGAAAGAATGTAGGCAAAACTAGATGTATTCCCACATACAAAAGTTAAAGGAAACCAAAGGAAAGATAATTAGTACAAAAGAAGAAAATGAATTATCTTGCAATAAATTTTTAGATAAATTTCCATTCTTAACTATAGTTTCTTTAAGTTAGTGAATTTCATTCACCATCCCCCCGCCCACAACCTGTTCCACAATTTAAAAGAGTATATTTATATGGCAAAAGAATTAAAGCAGAGTTTCATAGGATCCCTTGCTATAGGTATTATTGCTTAGGAACCAAATAGATTTAGATGGTGAGACATAGATGTGTATAAAATAGAAAGAGTGTGTGTATATAGAATGGAAACAAGTTTTGTAAAACAATGTTTATTTTTATTACCAACAATGCACTCTAATATTTCCTAGCCTATGCTGTTTGATTTTATTCTATTTCATTAAAGCATTGGCTGAATCCACATGATTTCATATTTCACTAATGTATTGTGACCCAGTATGGGAAAATGTTGTTTTAGGCCATAAATCTGTGTATGCCAGATTAAAATATGAGGCAGATCCATTTTGAAAAATGCCCTGCAGACCAACTGCTAACAGTGAGTTTGCACAACTCGGTAGAGAAAAGTTCTCCTGTCTTTACCTCTAAGTCGTCATTGGGTTTCCCCTTCCAAAGATTTTGGAAAAACTCTAGTGTCTCCCCAAGATCTGCTGGGTGCACTGTACTCTGAAATAGCTGAGGGGGCAGGAGGCTGGGCCAGAAGCACCTTCCCTATCTAGGGGAGGAAGTCAGAGGCCTGAACACTTGTGTATTCCACTTGGTAACACTTAATTCTGGCCCTGGGTAATGGGCAGCAGATACTTCCTGTAAGGAAATAGGAAAAGTGTGCATTTTCTAACAGCAGAGCTCCAACCAGTGCTCCTGGGTGGTGAGAAATCTTATCCTCCTTTTCTTCTTCCCTGTCTTTGTTCTAGCCTCTTCCTGAGCCATTTTCAGTCAGTACTTCTCTCCCAGTACTTTCCCCCACACTGTCCTTTAGGACACCCCAGGGTATCCATATTATACTGCTGGTTATGGATCTCCTGCCACCCACACTGCACTTAAAATCTTAAGCTCTTTTGGGGATCTAACTAGGTATTAAAAATATAACTGTTTGGGCCCTCTGTTGTTCTCTCAGGCAGTTGGCTCAGGAGCATGGTGGGATTGCAAGTGGGAGAATAGACACCAGGTTGCCCTGCATGAACACTGACTGCAAGCTCCCAGAAGGCAGTCTCTGGATTTGA